CTACAGCAGCAGCTGACGCAAGCCCCGGGGGCGCGCGGACGTGACGCTTGGACACGTGTGCGGCCGCCCAGGCGCGCGGGGACTGGCAGAGCCACCCTGCGCCGGGGCGTGGGCTCCGCCCGGCTCCAGCTGGCAGCGCTGGGGACCGCCTCGCGCGGGCGCTCTGGCTCAGGGCGCGGGCCGGTCCGCGCCAGTGAGCATGCCCTGCTCACCGCTGCCGCCTGCCGCGGTCGGCTTTTCCGGGTGGAGGAGAGTAGGTGGGGCGGGGGGCAACCCTTTGGGAAGGCGTTCACGAGGGACTCTAGCCACACCCCCAGGGAGCCACGCCGAGGCGACCTCTGACTCAGGCCAGAGGGGCAACAACTTTCGGCAGGGCGAGGTGCGAGCTGTGGGCAGGGTGGGCCGAAGTGGGCCGGAGGCGCCCCCGGCCAGGTCGGAAAAACCCGAGTTTTCTCTCCGCGGGCTGAGTCACCAGCGCTCCGAGAGCTTGAGGCGGGGCCAGACGAGTTCTGGGTTTGGTAAGCAAGGTTAAGAGGAGGAGCCTTGGGCGGGAGCAAGACATTAGTACTTTTAGGGTGTGGCCTGTCCTAAGCCCCACCTCTCAGGTGGAGCGGCAATTAAGCTCCCTTAACTTGTTTTACAAGCAGACCTAGCAACTATTAGGTTGAATCGAGCGCCTCTGACGTGTACAATAGGCCCTGGAAGGGGGCGAATGAGCCTAGCTGGCTACAGGTAGAGTTCGAGGTCACTCAGGGATGCCATCAACGTGGTCGTGAGACCCCAACAGGCTGTGGAGGGCCAAAATCCACGGTTTTGCATGCCCAGGAGAAGCCCTAGAAAGGGATGCTGGTCCAGAGGCTGCCACATACATAATGCAATGTCATGTATAGTGTGCCCAGAGTTAAGTCGCTTCTTTGCATACTTTGACTAAGCTCCTGCAACTGGACTTGCAGGAAATGCCATCAGGAAGGGGCACCGAGTGGCAGGATGGTTCTTAGTAGGAGAGACAGGTAAGAAACAACCAACTGGGCCGGGTGAAAGATGGAGCCTACACCAACCACCTGTATGACCTTTCACCTCTCTGTGACTTGGCTTTTGGGTTGCTAACCTAGCTATTTCTTTAGAGGATTAGAATCTCTGACGCACACACAGGGGCAGCCTGCCCTGTCCAAGAGGCTGCTGTGAGCCAGCATCAACGCCGAGAGCTGGGACAACAATACCTATTTTCTTGGTGAGGTAAGTGAGGATTAAGTGAGCTGATTGTGTCAAATACTTAGAATGGAACCTGGCTTATCAGTACTATTTAAACATCTGCTGTTTTTACAAAGGCTTTAGTGAATGTTTGAGATGCACAGCTGAGGGAACAGGCACACAGAGTTAAGTAATTTGTTTAATATCACACAACTGATGATGTTCTAATAAGCTTTGGAGTTGCCCTTAACTACTAGTCTAAGTCCCTCTTAATTAAGTCTGACTTCTACTGATAGTCTGGCTGAGAAGTTAAGATTAGCACATGCAACACAAAGCAGTTGCATAACCTATAATAACAGGCCGTATTTTGTGAGCAAAGTTTACATAAATTCTTTCCTTAGCTGGTAGTGGGAGAAAAACTGAATCATAATTGGTTATATTTTCACCAGTTTATGGCATAACATGTTTGTAATGATGGGGAAAAAAATCACCTGCAGTTTCACTTTTGAAGAAAATGTAATGCTTCCCACTCTCAATGTACACCCCACGCCAGTGGAAATAATGAACGGAATTGATTTCCTTTCCCTCTGCCTCTGACCTCTTGGTGCAGGTACCTCTCCCCCACAAAACAGGGCTCACTCTCTCCCACTGGAGAAATGGGCCCCACCTTTGCCATGTTGATGTGTTTTCAGTATTTTAATCCCATCAGCCCTGGTCGGTTAAAAAGCATCTTGGCTTTGGAGCTGTTGAGGCAAAGAATAGGAGACGCAAGTCTCTACAGAGAAAATATATTCTAACATACAAGGAACCCATCTACTTGTTCCTGGGCAGATGCCTGCTATGGTATGGTATGGAGAATTTATTTTTTCTTGCATCCTTCTTCCTCCTCCACATCATTGCACTCCTAATTCTATCAACCAAGGCAATAGCTTAAAAACAAAACTTCTTATGGCAGGGGTCCTCAAAATTTTTAAACAGGGGGCCAGTTCAGTGCCCCTCAGACCCATTGGAGGGCCGGACTATAGTTTATTTTATTTTATTCTAACCATTTTATTAGGGGCTCATACAACTCTTATCACAATCCATACACACATCAACTGTGTAAAGCGCGTTTGCACATTCATGGCCCTCATCATTCTCAAAACATTTCCTCTCCACTCAAGCCCCCGACATCAGGTCCTCATTTTCCCCCTCCCTCCCCACTCCCCCCTCCTTCATGAGCCCTTGATAATTATATTATTTTGTCATATCTTGCCCTGTCCCACGTCTCCCTTCCCCCACTTTTCTGTTGTCCGTCCCCCAGGGAGGAGGTCACATATAGTTCCTTGTAATCGGTTCCCTCTTTCCAACCCACTTTCCCTCTACCCTCCCAGTATCGCCACTCACACCACTGGTCCTGTAGGGCTCATCCACCCTGGACTCCCTGGATTTCCAGTTCCTATCTGTACCAGTGTACATCCTCTGGTCTAGCCAGACTTGCAAGGTAGAATTCGTATCATGGTAGTGGGAGCAGGGAGGAAACATTTAGGAACTAGAGGAAAGTTATATTTTTCATCATTGGTACATCGCACCCTGACTGGCTCCTTTCCTCCCCAAGACCCCTCTGCAAGGGGATCTCCAGTGACCTACTAATGGGCTTTGGGTCTCCACTCCACACTCCCCCATCATTCACTACAGACTGTAGTTTAAAAAAAAACTATGAACAAAATCCTATGCACACTGCACATATCTTATTTTGAAGTAAAAAAACAAATGGGGCAAAAACACCCGCTGGGCAGGATAAATGTCCTCGGCGGGCCGCATGTGGCCCCGGGCTATGGTTTGAGGACGCCTGCCTTAGGGCAACTGCTGAAGGGAGACGGAAGAGTGGACAGCCCTGCTGGTTGACCCACATCAGTGGCCACTCCAGACTGGTCTTTCCTGTCCTCCTTCCCTGGCCTTTTGAGTCAGAGACAAGTGGCCTTTACCTAAGAACCAGAGCACCTCCTATCAGAAGGGCAGCCAGCTTACAGCTCCTATGTAATACTCAAAACGTGCTGAATTGAGCTGCTGTGCGGCTCATTTGCCCTTGCTTAGTGTTGCTGCTGCTGGGGAGAGGGTGTCGTTTTCTTGCCTTTTATTATCTCCTGAGTAGTGTGGCTCCTTTGCCCCATCTGCTGGGGGAGAGGTTGGCCCTTTCCCCCACTGAGCTCCCTGATTGTACAAGAAGGGTTTGTGTCAGCAGCACACGGCTCCTTAACCCCAACTTGTCTGTTAACCTTTAAAGATCAGGGGTGTATTTGGTAATTTTTTCATTTCTTAAAATATCAATGTCGGGTTTTGTTACAAACTACAACAGCAACAACGAAGCACCTTCCTGGTGAGCCTCTAATCTCGAAACTGCCGAGTGCAGGGAGTAAAGCTCCAGCCAGGCAGATGAGCTCCTGCCCTCTGTAATTACAGATTGCGTGGTTTTGCAAATTGGGCAACGTTGGCGTTCAAGCAAATGGTGTGCAGTTTCAGAGCAAAATGTGGTCCCCTTTTACTATGTAGGGTTAGAGATGACTCGGGAGTGCACTGGGTGGAGATTTCTGATAAAGGAGAAGCTCATGGGAAATTTTGAGGTGATTACGAGGCCCCTTGGTGATTATGGTAGGGAACTTTTAGCTTTATAAAGTACCTTTGTTTCTGGTTTGATAGTTTCCATGCACTCAAGCTTCTCTTGAACGATTATAGGTTGTTTAATTCAAGTATTGTTTTGAATAACTGCTGGTCCTAGGTCCTAGTGCTGTGTGCTACACGAAGCAGGCGTATGTATTTGCATTATTTGTATATCCATACTTAGCTAGTGACTCCAGTCTCACCCTGGGTCAGATACTGTTCTAAGCACCGACATGTTTCCCTTCTCTTAATCCTCACAATTTATCTTATGAAGTTGATAACTTGACAGGTGACAAGGAAGTCCAAAGAGGCCAAGTTATTGGTAGTACGTAGCCTTTAAGATAGTTACAAAAAGAAGAGAAAATCAACCTGCCTCGCAGTGATTTTTTTAAGTCTTATTGACCTATAATTCACATACCATACAATCCAACTGTTTAAAAACCTTAAGGAGTTGTAAAATCATCACCACAATCAATTTTAGAACATTAGCTTCATTTTTGTACTCATTATCAATTCCTTATTTCTCTCCAACCTCCCCTTGCCATAACCCTAATAAACTATTAATCTAGTTACTGTCTCTGTAGATTTATCTATCCTTGCTTCAT